CCCCAAAACCCCAAAACCCCAAAACCCCAAAACCCCTAAAGTAGAAAATGGGATTGAAATGGAACTTATACTTTCTATTCTCTATTTGTAAAAATTCACATATATCTCTATGGCTCCTCCATGACTTCAGATAGGGTCTTCACCACTGTATCGTTGAAGCCATAATTTCCCAACAATTTGCCTGAGTCATAGGGGGTAAACCCGAAAGGATTGTCTTCTTGGAAGGAGCAGATCTGAAGCTTCTCGTCTACTGATCTATAATCCTGGTCATCTCAATATTTTGAAAAATTCATACCTCCCTTTGGGCCTCTTAATTTGTGGATCATGATAAAACTTCGGGCTTTCAGTGATAATACTTGAGAATCTGAGTCTATCTTGCCTGCTAGTACTTATAACCTGCATGGAATTGTTCCTAAAGCTTAGAAAATAAAAATACTTCTGAAGCATCCTGGCCTGAGCAGGATCAAGTTCGATCATCTTTATAGGATCTTTTTGCTCACTCTTATGTAAAATCTCCTTTGTACTCTTTGATCTGAAACTCATTCACTTGACTATACAACAGGTTATGTCAGATTCTCAGGGAATATGAGATTTCAGTATGTACCTTGGTTCACCTTAGCAGGGGTCGAACAAACATCTGGGGATACTAGAGATTCTTTCATGTTTGTTGCATTGATAGTTGAAATACTAGAAGCCCTTAAGAAGAATGAGTCTTCCTTCTGATGAGTGCATTTATTTACATTTTGCAAGTCGAGTTTGCTTCAAACTTTAGAAGAGTGAAAAGAGGGTTGATTTAAACTATCTTTTGACTGGTTAGCCCTCTTACTCTTGCCAGGTCTCTTTACCACAATGTTAGGCTTTTCAAGCTCTTCGTTATTTCATCCGCAGCAAGAAGCCTCTTGTACTACTTGTTCCAAAATATTGCCCATTTTGCTATTTTATATTTTGAACATAAGTTGTAAGTTAGGGGTTTTGGGGTTTTGGGGTTTTGGGGTTTTGGGG